TAGAAGTTGTTTGTTTTTAATTAACCAACACTCCATGCATTTAGAAATTATAGTCATCAAGATTTGTATTATAATTCAAAAGAAACTTTTATGGAATGTTACTATTTTACATAATATATGGGTATATACACACAAAAGATATGGATGTAAACTGAAGTGAAACATTTGCTTTAAAATTTTCCTTTGTATTTTACATTCCCATTGTAATTGTTCTCCTAAAACACTGGGTCACAATGACGAAAAAAACATTCTTCATAAGGAAGACTTTTATAAAAGAATGTACAATCTCTATCCTTGGAAATACTCACTTAAATTATGAATAAGGTAATAAGCAACCTGATCTAACTGGGATCTAACTGCTTCAAGCACTGGTTTGATCCCTTCCCATCTGATTTCTCCTACAACATACTCTTCTGTAATTCCATATATTATTTGCAAAATTATCCCCCAAAGTGCAGAAAGGGCTACAGCTATTAAAAACTATTTTCCCTTTCAAATAAAGCTTAGCATACAGTTGCCATTTTTCCAGTCTGTCCATTTAGTACGCTGCTTGAAATAAAAGGTTAAATCAAAAGTAAAAACTTATTTTTTCTTCCTGTCCATCTCAACTACTCATATTTACTTAACACTCGTTAAATACCCATTAAGATCAACTACTTATATATACTTAAACTTTTAAGTGCAGTGTATCAGTTTTGGAATGCTACACATTATTTGGACAAAGCCAGAGCAATACTGAGGTAGTATCTCCCAGCTGCTCCCACAGCAAGGGGTTCCTTTATCTGACTTAAAACACTTCACTGCTCACAACACCAAGTTGAGGGTTTGACTTGGGATTTATTGAGCATAGCCTAAACTGACAAACAGGACCTTTAAAACCCTATAATCTCTTGAACCCTTCTGCTTTAAGGAACCTGGCCCATTCAGATTTATTATTTTTACATTAGATATCCTGTTTCATTCTCTGAGAAAGTCATCCAGTGTCATCAAGTAACACACATGCTCATGTTCAGTGATGCAGCTCTCATTTTGAGATGCCATCAGCCCAAAATACACTTTCACATGTTCATGTGAGAAAATCTTTTTAAAACAACTTTTTTTTTCAAAATCTCAAGCAATTAAATTAGATCTGCATTTTAAAAACCAATACTACATTACCTAATCTTCATATTGTAAGCACAGTTACGCTGACATTTGAGTATTTTTGTTAGTGGAACCGTCTACAATCAGCATTTAAAACACCTAAATTTTTACAGCAAAGATGTAACCCTAAGGAAGAATGTTAATTTCTTACTTGCTGGCTATTTTCAATGACTGATTCCTGTTGTGGATATTATTTTGCATAAAAAAGACTATAATGTGTGACTTACCCCCATAGGAAATCTTGTAGTAGGCATAAGTTGTTAATGCTACACCAACCCATATTTCTTGATACACAGTAGAGAAGTAGAATTTCATGGGTTTCAATGCCTTTGGAATCATAGCCTGCACCATCTGAAATTTATAAAAAGTGTTGTCATTTTAACTTTTTTACCTGCTGGATTTTTAACGTACATAACGTCACACATACATATATTCATCTATTTTTATGTATACACACACACTCATGATGCATATTAGCAGCAGTTTACAAATTAAAAAAAAATCCCCAAGCATGCAGACGTACTTATTCCAAAGCAAAGAAATGAAAATTCAGAGTTAAGGTGTACAATTTATGGGCTAACACACAAAAAAATTAAAATTACTATTGATGAAAGGGTTAAAAGATGAGTGAACAGAACATTTACAGAGCAGCAACAGATAAACTTCTCTCCGCCTATCAGTAACAGCTTTTTCCTAAAGTTTCCAGATTCCCTCAGGAGGAAGTCTCATTCCAGACAAGCCAGAGAGGCTCCTTCCTTGCACTACCAATTCAGCTTCCCTCCCTCGAAGCTGTCTCTTCCAGCATGGTAATTTCTACTCAAAATAGCAACATAAATGATGTTAAGCTAATGAATTCATGTTTTATCATGATTATTTGACTTTCAAAATACGCCCCATGAGCAAGAAGCCTGTCAGTGTTAGCAGTTTTTTCCCTTCCATGCAGCTTTGTAAGACAAAGAGAAAATTGTAGGAGGTTTTAAAATAAAGCTTATCCTAACTCCCATAAATGTCAGTTCACATTTGCACCACACTGCACTGAGATACCCCATGTCTTATGCACACTCAATAGTCACTATTGGCGCTTATTACAACCCAATTAAATCAGCTATACACGCATATAGGCAGCACATGGTAAACCACAGACCCAGGGAAGAAAAGCAGAGTTAAATTTCTCTGAGGTAATGCTCACTTATCTTTAAATGTAAAGCATTGTCTGGTAAAGCATCTCCTCTCTAAGAGGAGAGGGTGCAAGAGCAAACACTGTCAAGACAACTGGAAAAATCTAGGTGTTTCTTAAAGAATGAAAGCAACTTTGAGGCAATTCATATATAATTACAGACAAACCCACAATTAATTTGTTTTTGGACAGTCATTTCAATTATTTATTATTGTGGCAAAAGTTCCTGAAACACCTTTCACCAACATATTAACGACACTGCATTAATGACACTGCTCACCTGTATTTCCAGGGTTTGTAGTTTCAGATGAACAGTGGAATACAAACAGTTACTCTGCTATAGCAGACTTTCCAAGACATACTAACAAACAAGGAGACTGAACAGAACAGGAAGGAAAGATTTCCCCAGCGCTACAGAACACAGGGAGCAAGCAGTACTGTTTCCACTTAAAACCGTGCCAGAGCCCGGCACAGACCTTTCCCCAGGGCCTGCGCGGGCGCGATGTCGTTCTAAGTATTTTTTTCCCGATCTCTACCCGGAACAACGCTGTATTTGCTGTGTCCTTGACCTCCCCGCCACAACCCGCCGCAGCCCGGGGCACCTGCCCGAGCCCCGACCGGCTGCACGGGGGCGGCGGGGTAACGGCAAAGTTCCAGCGCCGCGGGCCGCGCTCCCTTGCTCCCTTCTAGCCCTGCCAGCTGAACAGCGCTGCCCCCACCCGAGACACCCCCGAGCGATACCCGCAAGGACCCAGCCGGGGCTCGCCGGGCCCAGACCCACCGTGGCAGGGGAGCGGCGAAGGTCACACTCGGGAACGGGGACGGGTCCGCTGCCGCCGCGGGGTGCGCCGGGAAAGGACGCGCGGCGGGCGGGGACAGCAGCGCCCCCTAGGGCTGCGGAGGACCGGAGCGCCCTCGCGCCGTGGCGGTGCCAGCCCCGCTTCCCTCAGAATCACGGAATAGGTCAGGCAGGAAGGAACCGCAGTGAGGCACCTGGAACGAGCTCCCTGCTCGAGCAGGGTCATCCCAGAGCACGTGGCACAGGATTGCATCCAGACAGTTCTTTAATATCTCCAGTGAGGGAGACTCCACACCTCTCCGGGCAACCCGTTCCAGTGTGTGGTCTCTGTGCAGTGAAGTTCTTCCTCATGTTCAGATGGAACTTCTGTGCATCAGTTTCTGCCCATTGTCTCTTTTCTATCGCTCAGCACCACCGAGAAGAGCTTGGTTCCATCCTCTTGCCATCCTCCCTTCAGATATTTACACACTGATGAGGTCTCCTCTCAGTTGTCTCTTCTTGAAGCTGGACAGGCCCAGTTCTTTCAGACTTTTCTCATAAGGGAGATGCTCCAGGCGCCCAGTCATTATCTGTTGTCCTGCTCCAGGATCTCCACATTCCTCTTGCACTGAGGAGCACAGAACTGGACACAAAACTCCATGTTCACCTCCCCTATGCTGAGCAGTGGGGTAGGACCACCTCCCTCGATCTGCTGGCAGTGTTCTTCCAGTGTAGATCATCACCTCAGTCCTGCTTCCCAAGAACAAGCGCAGCCGGTCCCGGTCCAGTGCCAGGACAATGCCGGGAAGGGCCTGTCACATTCTGTGCAGTTCCCTATGTCCCTTAGGGAACAGCTTGTCCCGGAGGAGTGGGAGGCACCCGCTGGGCCATATTTATGAAGTCTGAAGCACTGTGTGCTCTGCAGGCCGTTTCCTCCAGGTGCGGGAGGACAGGGTGGCTGGAATTCCAGAGCTGTGCTCAGGCATTGTTCTGTGGGGTGAGGGGGGAATGACCGCCCAGGCCTCCCGAGGCTGTGAAAGGAAAGCAGAGCTCAGACCTTTATCGTGTGTTAAAATACCTTAGTGGGATCACAGACTGCATTTACTTTCCCTGTTAGTGATTTACATAATCTGTTGGTGTATAGATTTGCTACACAAGAGCTTTATCACACAGAGCAAACAAGACTGTTTGGATCTTACATGAGCGTTTTTTGCATTTCATATAGAACCACAACTTATGTCAAAATACTGCATGTACACTGCCTCTTTCATTTAAAACTTTAAAAACCTCTTGAAAATTTAGTGAGGAAAATCCCATTCTTTCTTTAATTTAGGATTTTGAGGCTGATACATTAAGCAAGAAGAGGCGGTGTCTACATATAGCCTAGATTTGTATTTACCTATCTGACAGTAACAGTTCTAAAGCAGCCAAATGCCTGCACTGAGTCAGGTACTCAGAGTGGAGATGATAAATCCTATCAGAGAAAGTAAGGGTCTATCCTGTTTTCATATTGGTTTTCATTATTTATCTGATTTAACAAATTACACTCAGATGTTTGCAGTTATTTCAGAAGAGAAGATGACAGGATGAAAGGGAAGTTCAACAGACACATTTATCTTCGTTCCTATTCTTTTGAAATGTACCCAGTAGTGATGACAGACCTTAGTGTTAGACCCAGAATACTTCTGGTCTGTGTCTGTATGTCTTGCCTTTCTAAGGAAGGCTTTAATAAATTTTAGGGGTCGGTTTAGAGGAACTCGGCCGGCAGCCCCAGGCGAAGGGTGCGCGAAGGGAAGGCAGACCGCCCCGGGAGGGTCCCGCCGGGGCGGGGCGGTGCCGGGCGGGGGCGGGAGGGTGTGCCCGTGCTGGGAAGGGCGGCGGCACCGGACCGCGTGCTGGGGCCGCCATCCCCGCCATGCTGCGGAAACTCACCGAGGGCCAGAGCCGGGACTGGTTCACCGTCGGCGGGGCCGTCACTGCCGTCGAGCTCCTGGGCGAGGAAGCGCGGGTCGGCCGCCCTGGCGCTTCTCCCCGCCATCCCACACAGCAGCCACTGACGGGGTGAGTGCGGGGCGCTGGGCCGCTGCTCTTGATGGCCTCCCTCTCTCCCCTCTGCAGTGTGCCCTGGGCATTCCCCTGAGCCAGGACAGCCTCCTCTGGCTCCCCTGCTCTGGAGAGCCCAGGCTGTGCCGTTGTTGGATTCCAGCCTAACACCCCCGGTAGCGTTTGTGGCTAATGAGTTTTTGTGTGTTTAATATTTAATGTTGTTTTCTGATTTGCTGCTTAGGTCTATTGTCTCCATCATCACTAGATGGATTGCGTGTAGAGTTTGCTTTCTCTCCATTAGCACTGGTGTGCAACTGTGCCTAGTCCTGTTGAAAAACTGTGGAACTGTAGTAGAAAAGACTCAGTTTATTCTGATTCAGGTGCATTAACTTAAAATTTTATCAGTGGCAAGTGATAAATGAGATTCATGAGTTCATTGCTATCATGACCGAAGGAAGCATTTAAGTTACCAGAGTAAAGTAAGTCAGAAGTATATTGACGTATTGTTCTTAGGCATTATTCTCAGATGGCAGAGTTTACAGGCAACAAGAAGTGTTTGTGTGTTTGCATAGTAGCCAGGCACATTTGCTTTTCACTGGAGTCTGCAGTTTTTGGATTGAAATCCAAAAACTGTTTTCCCTGGATGTTGCCTGAACTGTGGCAGTGCATACTAATCTTGGTGTTTAGACGAGGTGTGGTAGTGTATCTGTGGTTGCTGTAGAAAAGTGTTTTGTATGCACTTCCATGTAGTGTTTTTCAAGATGAGCTGGGCATATGCTCCAGAGTGAGTGTTTAGGGTTTTATTTTTCTGTGTGTGGTGCACAGCAATAGAGGCTGCTGTATTTCAGGGAGGTGTATTTATCTTAAAAGGTGTACATTGGCACCTGAGAAAGAATGAATTTTTGCGTAACATCTTGCTGTCAGGTAGTCTGATATTTCAGCAGAGACTGTTCAGGCTATCAGTGTTTCTGTCTTTGCGTCAAGTGAAGGACAAAACTGGCACCTCAAAATACCTATTCCTTTTTTATTTTTCAGTGCTCTGAATCGCTGAATTGTCGCTGCTGGGCTTTGTGCAAGTGTGCAAGTAGTTAAAATTTTCCACAAGTGATCAGACAAGATTTTACAGTTCTTTTAAGTTATTTCTGTGACTGTGATGCCTCAACCCAGTACAAACAAGATGTTTGTGACTTCTCTGTCATTTTTTAGGTGATAGTAACGTATCTGTAGTATTTATTAAGTGTTTGACTCTTCAACCCAAGTGAGTACTAAGTCACAAGATCTATTTTGGGTATTTCCCTGTGCACAGGAGAAATGAGCAAGATTGATCAAGCCTTGTGTGACTAGGCAGAAGCATATCTTTATTTTTGGTTGAACAGAAAGCTCTTTCCACTCACAAGTCTTAGCAGATAAACTGATTGTGAGTTTGACAGCTGTGTTAGCAGGGAAAAAATTATTTTTACAGGTTTGGTTTTATAATTTCTTTTTCTCCATGTCCGAGGGGGACAGAAGCGATATGCATTTTAAATGACCATTTATGTAAACGTGGACAGAATTTCTTAACAATAGCTATAAAACCTTTGAGCATAGACAGTAGGTGCATGCCTGTCCTGCCACAAAATGGAAGGAATCTGTATGAGAAGCTGTGTTTGCTTAGGTGTGTTTTGTTTTCATGCATGCTTCTGTTTCACAACTCTGGGAATGTGCTTACATTTGGAGTGTTTTTTGCAAAACTTAGTCTCTAATAGATTCAAGCATTTCAAAGGAAATGCTTGTGCTTGTTTCACTGACTTCTTCAGGAAGAGCTTGAGGAGCTGAAAACGAAAGAATTTCTCCTCATTTGTTGAGGCTGCTTGTAGCATAATTGTCTAGTTCCTTCAAAATTCTTTTTTTGTTTCTCGGGAAAGTCAAAACCAAAGTTATTCGGATTTCTTTGAAGCTGGATATACAGTTACTGATGGACACTTGTCTGCCTACCACTTTTGTCTAAATTTGTATGTAAGAATGTGTGGGTTTGATACCAAATTGGTAATAACAGGTGTGTTATTGCACACAACTGTGTGTAATAATACTTTAAAAAAACGTTAATGGGATCTAAAAGTCTCATGTTTCCCTTGAAAAGAGATGGGGAATGTGTTTGCTTCCTTTACCAATGATGCCTCATTTTCCAAGGCTTTTAAGATTCTTTTGCTTCCTGAATTACCTTTAGAATAGCAGGATTAGTAATTGAGGTTGTTGGGGAAAGGTAGTAGAAACAGAAACTGCATAAAATCTGGCTGGAATTTCTGTCCTTAAACAGCTCATTGATTAACTTTTTAATTACTTTTATTATGTTTAACTTAAAGAAAATAAATTTAGACCCTTAAATCCTTCCTTGGTATCAACAAAATTGTGTTCACATTGAGACAGTTAAAGGCTTAAGTGTGTAAAAGGTTCTTACTATTGCTTTTATTTCCTGCATTTCCTAGGTGTGCCTTTCACTAAGCTAGCACCTTTTTGAAGCTGACTTACTGGCTGGAAATATTGCACGTTGTTTGCTTTGCTTGATGCTTGTGCAGGTGGGAGACACTGCTGTCCTTTGGAATTACTGCCACTCACTCACCTTTCTGTCACCGGAGTGGTTTGTGTTGGCTGCCTGCCTATTGCAGAAATACCTGTTGGCTCACTGTAAGGGACAATGTTGTTTTAGAGCACCTCATGCAAACTGTGTAGGGCATAAATATAAAATACTTAAAGAAGCAGTTGCTTGGACAGTGATCTTCCACAGGGTAGTGGTGACTGGTCTTCCAGCAGTCTTACTCCTGTCTGAGGTAGCTGAATTCTAAGGGTAAGCATAACTCTAGCAAATGGCTTGTGTCAGCTGGTGAGTTGGAGAACAGATTCTCTTGGCAGCATGTTGCGGTAAATCTAACAAATTTCTTTAAAATATATTTAACATTTTTAGTTTGGCTTCTTGCCCTTACCCCATTGCTTTTCCTATGCTTTTCTCTGCTTTTTAACTAGAGAGAGTATATAACAATTTAGTCAGGAGGAAGTGCTTGTACTCCACTGAGTTACCCCACATTTCAGTATTTGAAAAAATGGCCAAAGTGAGTCCTTAGAGGATGGCATTTTCTCAGCCTTTGGATATTTTTTTTCCTGTACCTTCTGCAGTTCTCCTTTGCTTTCTCCTTCTCCCTTTCCACCAGATGTGGACACTAGAACTGGATGCAGTAATCTGATTAAAACATGCATATAAAAGTAGGTGAGCCTTTCTGTGCATTTCCCTGGCACTGTATAGGGATTTAACACTGAGTTGGCTGTGATGCCTACCTATATTTTTAAAGTATTTTGCAGCAACTGCCTTTTAGAATATGGCATAGTTGATGGTCCCTCTTTCTGAACTTGGAAAAATGCATTTGCTCATGTTAAAATGAAATTGAAATGAAGTTTGCAAAGCGTGGGTAAGTTGTATCTGGGGTTATCTTGTGTTTGTTTGTTTTCCCTACTCATTTTTGGTGATTGTTAAGGTAAGTGGATCTTCCATGTTACTGGCCTTCCATTTTCCATAAGTGAAAATTTGGAAGCTGCATTTTTAGAGGTTTTTAACCTATTTTTCAGATAGTAAGCTGTGAGAATACCATTTTAAAAAATAAAGTTACATGAATTGGCATCGCAGGTATCTTGCATATTTGACCACTTCAAAGCTATCTGAAACCAGCATTATGAATGTTAATTCTCAGACCAATATTAATCCAGCCAATGCCTTTTAAATACTCAGTACCCTCCTTCCTGTAAGAAAGGTGCTTGATATTTAATACTTGTGAGAGTTTTATCACTATGGAAAAATCTTTCTTTGAATCTCTTGCTGCCCTCATGCAGGGATTAGATTAGAACTGCAGGAGAAGGATCTCCAACTCCATGTGCTGCATCAGTAGGGCAGTATAAGTTCAGAACATTAATCCACAAACTGACAAGAAGAGGGCAAAGAGTTTATAGCAGCTCTGAGTGCAGATATAAGAAGTTTGCGTGTCCTTGGAAGCTTTGTGTATTTAATTTATGGGAGGTGGAGGGGCTAGTTACTTTTGGTATTGAGCTACAGCTTTTATTATTTTAAACCTGTTGGAAAGTTTTTGCTCTAGTCCTCCAGTGCTTTGTCCTTTGTGCGGGTATAGGAGTTCTCATTGATTTATCTTCTGTGAATATTATGCTTTATTTTTTCTACATGAAGTATTCTCTATATCATAAACTTTTCAAAGGCTTTTTAAAACCATTTTTAGAAAGATTTAAGTGTTTAGTAAATTATTGTGCCATTTGTTCCTTCAATTTGTGTTGCATTATTAGTAAATTTTTTCTGGAATGGGGGATACAGCTATGGAGCATAAGATGCCTTAAAGCTGTGTTACCAACTTGATGAAATCTGATTGGCTTCTTCAGTTTGTTTGAAGAAAATACCAGAGGAAGCAGTTTTGTTTATGAAATAGTGTATTCTGTGAATTGGGCCATATGAGTCATGCCCGTTTTTTTCTGATCCAGCAGACAGATAAAAAGCAAATACAGAGAAGATGACGTTATATGAAACATGTAAAAACTTGTTACAGTGATGGAAGCACAGTTGGAAATGTAGCCAACTGAGTTCTGGCATATGTTTTCATTGATTTTCTGCTCTAATTGCCTGCTGTGACCGTGACTGCTATGTATGTGATTAATCTTGTAAAACTTTGTGAACCCACAGTGATAGATCAGGGTGGCTGAGAAACATTAGATTTTGTTGTGTGTAAATTTAGAATGAACACCTTGTGTGTTGGAAATGACTCCTTGGCTATTCTAGAGAAGTCCCATCTGATTTGATCAAAATGTTAAAGGTTTAATGCAGAATTTGAGTTTCAGAACAAGTAAGTCAAATGAAAAACAGCTATTTAAAATTAAATAATTCAATATTTTTTTAAAGAATAGAAAGCTAGTTGTTAAATGCTGTTAAATATCTAGTGATTTTGTTTAGCTGTCCACCTTCACATGCTTCAGCATGTGCAGAGTAT